AGGGCTAAAATCCAGGATTCTGAAGCTAATCTCTCTTCCTTTCCTTCCTTTCATTGAGTTAGAAATCTCAACCCAGTATTTAAATATGTGGAGGGCATTTTGGCATTATCTACCAAAAGGTTCAAAAATGTGTCTATGGTTTGACCCAGCATTTCTAGGAATTTATTCTAAGTGCCAAAATATATGTACAAGGGTATTTTTTTAAGATTTTATTTATTTGAGAGAGAAAGTGAGCGGGAGCAGGAGTGGGGGTGAGTAGCAGAGGGAGAGGGAGGAACAGACCCCCTGCTGAGCAGGGAGCCCAATGGGGGGGCTAGATCTCAGGACCCCAGGATCAGGACATGAGCCAAAGGTAGATGCTTAATCGATTGAGCCACCCAGGTGCCCCTGTACGAGGGTATTAATTACAGTGTTATTTTCAATAGAGAAAAATAGAACTAACCAAATGCCCCACATACAGGGGATTGTTTTAAATAATAGATAGGACAGCCATGCAAAAGAATACTAGTAAATAATTTTTAATTGATTTAGGTATTTAAACTGTGTCTCATAAAATCCTGGGGTTCATCTGATCTGCATTAGGGCTCTGTAGATTTTTTATATGAATTCCATAAATTTTTATGGAGATTGATATATGGTTTTCTTATCACCCCTGATTGAACTTTTTTGTTTTTTTTTTAAGATTTTATTTATTTGAGACAGAGAGAATGAGAGAGAGAGAGCACATGAGAGGGGGGAGGGTCAGAGGCAGAAGCAGGCTCCCTGCCGAGCAAGGAGCCCGATGTGGGACTCGATCCAGGGACTCCAGGATCATGACCTGAGCCGAAGGCAGTCGCTTAACCAACTGAGCCACCCAGGCGCCCTGAACTTTTTTGTGTTTATAAAACATGTTCTTCATTGGGCTCCCTGCTCGGCGGGGAGTCTGCTTCTCCCTCTGGCCCTCCCCCCTCTCATGTGCTTTCTCTCTCTCATTCTCTCTCTCTCAAATAAATAAATAAAATCTTAAAAAAAAAAAAAAAAAGGGCGCCTGGGTGGCTCAGTTGGTTAAGCCACTGCCTTCGGCTCAGGTCATGATCCTGGAGTCCCGGGATCGAGTCCCACATTGGGCTCCCTGCTCGGTGGGGAGTCTGCTTCTCCCTCTGACCCTCCCCCCTCTCATGTGCTTTCTCTCTCTTTCTCTCTCTCTCTCAAATAAATAAATAAAATCTTTAAAAAAAAAAAAAACAAAAAAAACCCATGTTCTTATAGATTTAAGATGAGTAAATACTCTACATTTGAATAGTAGTCCATCTCCATGGGTTGACTGATGCCTTATTTATTTATTTATTTATTTATTTATTTATTTATTTATTTATTTATTAATGAGGATGCTATGCAGACTAAGCCAGTTTTCAACACCAGCTCTCTAGTTATGGTGTGATAATGAGTGTCCCTATTAGGGTTTTCTGGCTGACCAAACTTGTCAGCCTGTCCTCAATATATTTTTTCTCCTAAACACAACCAGACTTCGCTTTGCTAAACTAGCCTGTAATCAGCAGAATTCCTGAGGGGGAGATTCTTCCCCATTATATTTTATTCAACTTTATGTAAAAAGGTTCTCTGGTGTAATCAGAATTCTTCCTTGAAACTACTGAAAGAGGTAAGTGTAATTAGTGACTAGTGTGGACAACACAAATAGCTTTTTTTTTTTTCTTTTTGCAATTAAAAATTCTTGAAAATGTGACTGTATCACGATGTAAGGGAAGAGGCAGTCGTTTTAACAGAATTGTGAATTTGCTTTAACTGTTCCCTGTGGGATGCTGGCAAGTTATTTTATCTTTCTAAGCATTGGATTTTTTGTCAGTAAAATGGAAATTAATATCTTTCAGTTTGTTATGAGGATTACATAAGATACATTTGAACACTCAACAAATGTTGACATAAAAGGAGTATGGCTAATTTAAATATGGGAGTCAGGGAAGGTTCCGTCAATTTATTTTTTTCCCTGTACCCATCACCTCAAATACTGGAGGTAATTTCACACATCTCCAGTAATAGAGAGATAGGAATGAATGTATTAGACTTTTAATTTTGGAAGTGTTTCCTACTTTTTACCCTCTGAAAAAAATCTAACTTCCATCTATTTAGAGTTTTACAACTTATATTAAAGATAATATTATACCCACTCTTTGCTGTATAACCTTGCAAAGTTCTCTAGCCAAAACCAATAAATTTCACTCTGGCAAGATCAAAGACTATTCAGATAGTACGAATATAAAATATTGCACTACTCTTTAAACTTATGGTCCATTTATACGAAGTCTCATTGCACCACTTCTTGGTCTTTTGGCTAAGATCAAGTGTAGTACACTCATTGCCATAGGCGAAGCGTCTCAGTTATTTTCTGGGGTGCCAGTAGTTTTATGGAATTGTCTTTCCAGTCTCTCTCTCTCTCTGTCTCTCAAGTTTTCCTTGACCTTCCCTGTCTGAGTTGGGTGCCCCTCCGATAGGCATCCTCCATAGGCTGAATTCCATAGGTAATCTGGGGTGCATTTTTCTGTCAGTATGTATGGGTCTTCCCTAACAGATTATGAATTTGCAATGGGCAAGAACTCTGAGTGTTCCTGGCAAACCCTCACTTCCTGGCCCCCAACACCCACAACGGTGCCACTGCTATCAGCCCTGGGGGCCTGTGCTAATCCCATCATGTCTCCCATTTCTGTCAGCCCTGGTCCACCAGGTCATCTCCTATTCTTGGACTCTGATCTCCACATGGCCTCATATGCTATCCTGGCTCTATATCTCACCATTCCCCAACTTCTGAAACCCTTCCACAGTGACTTCACAGCATCCCCTCTCTACCTCACTTCTTGAATGTTGGCTTCAACTTCTTGCTATAGGGGGGACCCGGCTCTCCCAAAGACACTGGTTCCTTTGCTGATGGTGGCCATTTTCTCTCTCAAGCTACTCATATCACGAGCCCACAAGCAGGGTGGGTACTACATACCGAATGTTTGTGGCTCCCCCCAAATTCATATGTTGAAAAAAAAACCCCAATGCGATGTTACTAGGAATTGGGGCATTTGGGAGGTGATTAGGTCATGAGAGTAAAGCCCTTATGAATAAGATTAGTACCCTTATAAAACAGACCACGGAGAGCTCCCTTGCCCTTTCTGCTTCGTAAGGACACAGGAGAAGACAGCCGTCTATGAACCAAGAGGCTAGTTCTTACCACACATGGAATCTGCCAGTGCCTTGATCTGGGACTTTCAGGGAGAAATAAATGTTGTTTATAAGCCACCTAGTCAATCATAGTTTTGTTATAGCAGCCTGAATGGACTAAGACAGGGGGTCATCCTTATTACTGCTTCCAGAACATTCCCTCCACCCCTCAGTGCTCCTAACCAACTCTCACTCTCAAGTCATCAGACCTATAGTCTTCTATTGCCTTCTTCTTTTAACATACACACTTGTTTCTTAAGATTTTAGCTCCAGATCCTTCTCTCCTGCACTATATCTGCCATACTTCTTGGTGATTGTTTTATCCTCATAGGTTTTGTTTTTATTATCTGGTCTTGGCTTTCTTTAGATTCCCCTCCTCCAATGACCTTGCCCCATCCCACCTCATGTACTCAGTCCCATGGTCAGCCCTTGGACTTAGTCATTACTAATGAGTGTAACCTGTCCCTAATCTCAGTCTCAAGTGCTAGCTATTAGTGTTACTATTTTTACAGAATTTGTTGAATTGGATTGCTCACAATTTGGATCACCACAGGCAAATGAGTTCCACTCTTTCAGCCCCATTTGCTCTATTCAGGGACTATGGTGTGATGAGTTGAGAGCAAGTATTGGTGATAGGATAGCTGGGCAGAGAAGCAAGAGGAGCTGAATAATGAAGGGATTAAGGGCTTTGAATTAAGCCATGAAGAAAGAGGTAAAGCCTGGGGGCCGGAGAGGATAAAACAATATTCTATTCTGGAAGAAAAGGATGGCTAACCTGCATGTCAGGAGGTGAGATACTGGCTAAAAAACAGTAAACAGATTATAAACTAGAGGTTTTTGGGATCAGCAAGGGTAGAATAGAGAGATTAGAGGCAGCCCAGGGGACACAGGGAGAAGAAAATGTTCCAGAGCACACAGTAGGGGCTGAATAAATATTTGTTGAGTAAATGAATAAATTATATGACTCCAGGCATAGGGTTTTATTGTTTTCTCATCCTGTTTTGGGCCCAGAAGTGCAAGGGCATCACATTTTAGGCAGGTATGGGGGGTGGGGAAGGTTGAGGCTGCTGCTAGCATATTTCTTGTGCAAATTAGAAGTGACTCCATATCTGGGCAGATAGATTAGAAAAGGTTTCAACTTTTTTAGGTTCTAAGCAGCTTTGTGTCAGCAATGTATGTTTTGGATCTCTGCGCCCATATCTTTGGGGATAGGTTGGGGGCAGGTGGGTAACACAATAATGTGGTAAGGTGGGGCGCCTGGGTGGCTCAGTTGGTTAAGCACCTGCCTTCAGGGAGGTAAGGTGGGGTAAGGTGGGGCGCCTGGATGGCTCAGTTGGTTAAGCACCTGCCTCAGGTCATGATCCCAGGGTCCTGGGATTGAGCCCCGCATCAGGCTCCCTGCTCAGCAGGGAGCCTGCTTCTCCGTCTCCCTCTGCCTGCCTGTCTGCCTACTTGTGATCTCTCTCTGTCAAATAAATAAAATCTTAAAAAAAAATAATGTGTTAAGGTTCTAAAGTCCATTCCTGAACTTCCCCCCCACCCCTACCCCAGCTCAGTAGTTTTTATACTGTTTGAACCTGGGCTCCTGCAATCTCTGAAGCCAGAAATTCTTCTCTTAACATTTCTGCTGTGACCTCCCTTTCTAGTCAGTTGAGACCAAGGTCTAGTTTAAAATGAAGAGTTGGTTGGCTGGGGGTGTAAGGGATTTATTTCTCTTTTTGTTGGGGTGAAAAAAAGGAAAGCGATATGGATTTATGATGGGACTCCTATTTACTTTCCGTACTTTCCCTCATTTTCAGGATTCACAACGATCTTCCCAGGCAAATATGAATTACATTATTCTTAGGGAGGTCCGAGAAGAGAGTCTGCAACTTGGGCCAGGTGCAAAGTGAGGAGTGGAGTGAAGACTCAGACTCAAGGTATTCCACTGTGCCTCATATGTGCTGTATTTCCTTCTGGTGAAATACACCACTAGCTGTAAACTTGCTGAAGTTAGGCATTGTTTTATTTTTTTCACCTTTGTATCTTTCCCAGAGTTTAGCATCATCCCTGACACTAAGAAAATGTTGAATAAAGGACAGTGGGGTTGAATTGAATGTGCATGAGCAAAGGCGGCTAAGTACCAGCCTTCCCCCTCTGTCTGCTGACATTTTCACCCTGGGCATCAGTCATCACAAGGCTGTCTTCATAATTTGCCTCTTCCACCTTCCCCTCTGAAGGAAATGCTTCTCATGGGAATCTGCTGATCCAATGAGCTGCAGTCATTTGATACCTGAAGAGATTTGGAAACATTCATTTCCTAGTGGCTCCTATGCTTAATAGGGACTAACAGTTTCCCTTACTGTCTCCATTTGCTCTTATTTGGTTCTTGTATTTGGAGGTGTATCCAAGGAGTCTTAAGAAAGGTATATGTGGAATTTTTTTGTTGACCCCAATACAACACTCTGCTAGCTTCGACTCAGGTCATGATCCCAGAATCCTGGGATGGAGCCCCATGTCAGGCTCCCTGCTCAGTGAGGAATCTCCTTTTCCCTCTCCTTCTGTTCCTCCCCCACTTGTGCTCTCTCTCTCAAATAAAAAATCATTAAAAAAAAGAATTTTGAAATATATAATAAACAATTGTCTGCTTTTAAACTTTAGTTGAGTGATACAATTTTCAACAAACTTTCATTTAAAAAATTTTTTACATTAAAAAGATTTGGAGGGCGCCTGGGTGGCTCAGTCGTTACGTGTCTGCCTTCAGCTCAGGTCATGATCCCGTGGTCCTGGGATTGAGCCCCGCGTTGGGCTCCCTGCTCAGCGGGAAGCCTGCTTCTCTCTCTCCCTCTCCCCCTGCTTGTGTTCCCTCTCTTGCTGTGTCTCTCTCTGTCAAATAAATAAAATCTTAAAAAAAAAATTTGGAAGTATAGTTGACATATAATATTATATTAGTTTCAGGTATATGGCATAGTGATTCAACAATTATATACATTATAAATGCTTGTCACAGTAAGTGTGGTTACCATCTGTCACCATATAAAGTTATTCCAATCTTATTGACAGTATTCCCTATGCTCTACTTTTCATTCCCATGACTGATTTATTTCATAACTGGAAGTTTGTTCCTCTCAATCCCCTTCACCTATTTTGCCTATCCCCCTACCCAGCTCCCCTCTGGTGACCACTAGTTTATTCTCTGTATTTATGAGTGTGTTTCTATTTGCTCATTTGTTTTGTTTTTCAGATTCCACAAATAAACAAAATCTTATGGTATTTGTCTTTCTCTGACTTATTTCACTTAGCACAATACCCTCTGGGTGTGTTCATGTTGCTGCAAATGGCAAGGTTTCATTCTTTTTTATTGCTGTTTAATATTCCATTGTGTATATATATTAGTTCTTCTTTATCCATTCATCTATCAATGGTTGCTTCCTTATCTTGACTATTGTTGATAATACTGGGGTAAACATAGGGGTATATAAATCTTTTCAAATTATTGTTTTTATTCTCTTTGGATAAACACCCAAGAGTGGAATTACTAGATCATATGGTAGTTCTATTTTTAATTTTTCAAGGAACCTCCATATTGTTTTCCATAGTGGCTGTACCAATTTATATTCCCACCTACAGTGCCCAAGGGTTCCCTTATGTCCACATCCTCACCAACACTTGATATTTCTCAATAAACTTTTTTTTAATTAGACCTGGGGGTGGAGCAGAGGGAGAGGGGAATCTTAAGCAGGCTCCATGCCCAGCACAAAGCCCGACTTGGGATTCAGTCTCACAACCCTGAGATCATGACCTGAGCTGAAATCAAGAGTCAGAGGCTTAACCTACTGAGTCACCTGGTCGCCCCTCTCAACAATCTTTTAAATCCACTCCCTGATATTAGCTTTCTTTTGTTTTTCAAACTTGCCCAAGCCATAGAATTAGTAAATGGCAAGGCTGGAATTGGAAGTCTTTTAGGGTTTGGTTTGAAGTTGTTACTCTGTTGCTGTCAGGCTGGCCCAGTTTCTTAGCGTCTATAATAAAAATAGAAATTAAAAAAAAAAAAAAAAACAACCCCTAATTTTTGACTACCAGATTCTAGGCTCTATTCTAAGAGCTTTTCTAATCTATAAGTTAGGATAATAATAGTGTTGTCTTGAAGATGACATGTGGGCATTTGTGTAACATCTGTTGGATGAAGGCTGGATATTATAAGTGCTCCATTAGTCATTGTGATTGTCATTATGAATAATTTTGTCTGCCAAGAAATATGACCAGCCACAAAAATGCTGCCCTTGCCATTTCCATTTAAATGGTACTGTTCTGGGACGCCTAGCTGGCTCAGTCAGGGGAAGGTGTGATTCTTGATCTTGGGATTGTAAATTCGAGCCCCACGTTGGGTGTAGAGATTGCTTAGAAAGAAAATCTTAAAAAAAAAAGTAAATAAAAAAATGTTACTGGGCGCCTGGGTGGCTCAGATGGTTAAGCGTCTGCCTTCGGCTCAGGTCATGATCCCAGGGTCCTGGGATCGAGTCCCGCATCGGGCTCCCTGCTCCTTGGGAGCCTGCTTCTCCCTCTGCTTCTCTCTCTCTCTCTCTCTCTGTCTCTCATGAATAAATAAATAAAATCTTTAAAAAAAAAATGTTACTATTCTGAAGAATGTTTGTAAACATGTCACAAATGCTCTTTTTTTTTTTTTTTGGTGGGCAGCAAAGCAAGGTTTATTGAGTGATAACAGTGATAGTACAAAGCTCCTGAGGAGGGAGGGGACCCAAGAGGGTGGCCACGGGGAGTTTCTAAGTCTAGAGGTTTTTATGGGCTTGTTGACAGGCTGTTTTAATCTGATTAACCCTCCCTGCACCTGTCATCCAATCAGGTTTTTGTCACCTATCATATGGGAAAGGGTGGAGGGCTTCTTCCAGGGTGGTGTGAAATCCTTTTAAGGGTGGTTTCATCTTTGGGCGGGACCCCTTGTCCCTGCTTGCCTGCCTCCTAACTCTCCATCATTCCCCCCTCTGAAGACGTATCCTTAATTGCCATTAGGGAAAAAGGGCTATGACTGATCGTAGCAACTTCCTGTTGGTCAAGAGGGTTGGATGGAGCGGCAGACAGGGTTCTTCTTGTCCTGATCTATCAAGGGCTCCCTTGTAGATACCTGGTTTGACCTTCATATGAAGCTCCATCTGAACCACCATTTGGAATTTGATGACCTTCATTCTGGAAGATATAAAGCAGGTTAGGGCATTTAGGAGGCAAAGGCCCAAAGCACAATGCAAGATTGAGTATAGCCAGCGGTCTGGCGAGAGGTAGAGGATGTTTTGGTGAACTTCCCACATACTGTGAGGAGAGGGCAGGTGAAAAGAATGCAATAAGGATTATGATTTTGATGGGATATAAGGATCTGTGTCTTGTCCCTTCAAGACTAGTTTGAGGTCCTCTCTGGGTTCACAGAGGGATTTTGGTCCCTTGTTGTTAGGCCCCATTGGGGACCAGGGTTTGACTCTGGAGTGGGGGATTCAAGCTTCAAATTCAGGCACTTTGCTGTTGGAGTGGCTAAAATCACTGTATTCAGTCCCTCCCAGGCTGGCTCAAACAAGCCTTGGTCCCCAGGGTAAAATGGGAGAGGTTGGGTATTTGGGGGCTGGGAGTTGGGAAACTCCTTGCAAGAGGGATGGAATGATTCCAGAACCTGGGATGCTCCCTCTGTTATCACTCAGAGGGACTGGGGGAGTTCAAACCAAGGGACTTACCAGTGCCTTCATCACTTCTGAGGCTTTTTCAGTTTCACAGGGGAAGGCCTCAACCCAGTGCATGAAGGTATCTACCCAAAGCAGGAGGTACCTGTACCCATGCATTTTAGACATGTGTGAAGTCCATTTGCCAATCCTCCCCAGGATAACTTCCTACTTGCTGTATGTCTCAGGGGATTTGTGAACAGGAGAACGGGGTATTCTTCACATTTTTCCTGTCCTAGAGTTAGTTTCTTCCTGTCCCAGAGTTAGTTTCATAGTCAAAGCTGCCCCTAAGGCATGCCCGCCAGCCATAAGCCACCAGATCCAGCTCTTTGCTTAAATATCCCACTGGCTGTTGAGCTGGTCCCTGGCCCTAGGTTAGGTCACCCAAGGCCATTCCCTTTCTGTCACATCCCTCATGGTAGGAAGACTTAAAGCTGGGGCACTGAGCAAGGCCCTCTTGAGATTTTTTTTTTTTTTAAAGATTTTATTTATTTATTTGAGAGAGAGAGAGAATGAGAGAGAGACAGCATGAGGGGGGGAGGGTCAGAGGGAGAAGCAGACTCCCCGCTGAGCAGGGAGCCTGATGTGGGACTCGATCTTGGTACTCCAGGATCATGACCTGAGCCGAAGGCAGCCGCTCAACCAACTGAGCCACCCAGGCGCCCCCTCTTGAGATTTTTAAAAGCTTTTTCTGACTCTGGATTCCACGTTAATTGATGGCTGTCTGGGTGTCCTTGATCAATCAGTAGAGGGGACATGCTATTTCTCCATATCCTGGTATTCACGAGCGACAGTGTCCTGTTATGCCCAAAAAACCTTTCCAACAAGGGAAAGTTGTGTGGTCCTTAAAGTGTATGGGAATTTACTCTTTTTTTCCTAAAGATATTTAAATAACCTTTTTATTTTAGAATAATTTCAGATTTATAGAAAAGTTACAAGATGGTACAGAGAGTTCCTCTCCATTCCTTACCTGCATCTCACATTACTGTGGTAACTTTATCACTCTCAAGAAGCCAACATTGGTACATTACTATTAATTAAACCCCAGACTTTTTTCATATTTCCCTAATGTCCTTTTTCTGTTGCAAGATCCAATACAGGATACCCCATTGCATTTGGCAAATGCTCTCTTCTGCCGTAAGCAGTCCCTTTTTCTGTTAACCTGAACTGTGCTCTGCTCCAAAGGAATGCCACAGGGAAGCTCCTTGCATTCTCCA